AATTATGAATGGTAGAGTTATCTATTGGTTTATGATCGAATAAGATAATCAAACAATATGCATTTTATTACATTGAAATAACCATAAACCAGCAAATGTCGATGTAACAGATTTTCAAACGTTATTCATCTTGATTTATTCCATTGAATTTGAAAGATGGAAATAATTATTCGAAGAATATTTATATAAAAGATATATAGTCTGCATGATATAGATCAGTTATTATTTGCTCAATGTATTAGAATTAATAATCGACAGTAAAATAGATTAGGATTAGTTTATGATCGATCGTACGATATTAACTTCTGAATGAGAATCAACAATATAATCTATCATAAAACATTTAGAATAAAACTATAAATTAATGTTCTATTGTTGAATAATATCGAAATGAAATGGAGTTTTATTCTGTACGACTTATGTTGTAAAGGTTAATCGTTTGTTTTTAAAAGTAAAAAACGAAAGACCTTCATTTTGATTTATTAGTCACGAATCTTTTGTCGATTGCCTATCAATTACATGATAAATAAATAAATCTTTCGTGTAAACATATTTTATTTCCTCAAAGGAATTTTAAAACTTACATAAAATATTTTATAATCTTTCAGTAAAATTCGTAAGAAAATGTTGCACATAAATTTCAAGTTTTTTTTCATTAAAATGTCCAAATTGAAAATTTGTTTCATTAGCAAGTTGACGCGTACGTTCTATATATTTATCTCCAACATGAATAAGAAAAAGTTGATTAAACATATTGGAATCAATCTTTGTCATATTGGTATGTTTTGTAAATCCATCTGACAGAATACAAATCTTTTTAATACCATTTATTTGTTGTGAATAAGTAGAAATTTTTTCTAATGCTTGATTTAAATTTAAGAAAGGTTTCATATGTAATTGTTCATCAAAATTTATATTAGAATTATATTCAATTTGTGTATCATTAGTTTCAAAAGTAATATGATTAGTTTCAATAATATGTCTAAAATTTAAAACAGTTTTTTTCTGGGAAATAATTAATCAATGTTTGTTATTTACCGTTTATTAAAAACAAGTTTAAGAAATTTCATGGCATTTATTCCTTCCTTTTCACATAATATATCAATTAAGAACCATTCATATATTGGCTTAGATTCTATAAATTTACTTAAAGATTTATTTGATATCAAAGGTTTTTCTGGATTAAATTCCCAGTTGCATACAGGACATCGACTTGGTCCTGCTCGATTTAATGTTCGATTATAATTTATCAATTTTTGTATACATAATCGATCCATTGTATGTCCACAACTAAGAATAATTGGATCATTAAAACGGGAAAGACAAATAGGACAGTCCAAATCAGTTGCTTCTTCCGAGCCAGACATTTTGCAACATAGATATTATATAAATAGATAAGAATATTTCATATGTCATAGTATATCATATGATTATGGCTACAGGTGAAGGCAAGTTTACATGTAGTGTTTGTAAGCAGTTATTTAAAAATCCAGTTGTTCATAAAATTTGTGGATTTTCTTTTCATCGTGAATGTCTTGGAAATCGATGTCCAGAACAAGAATGTCAACAAGTTATTAAAGAAGAAGACTTGATACTTAACCATTGTCTATCAAATGTTGTTGAAGAATATCGATCAACATTAGTACCACATTCTGCCTATTATATGATTCTACTCGATAATAGCACTTCTATGTGGTATTCAGATACATGGTTTCCTTTAATACTAGGCGAGAGTCGGTTTGTGCACGCTATAGATGTTTTGAACGAGTTCTTCAAACAGAAGTAAAATTTATTACTCATTGTTTATTGTATATGAATATAATTTTTATAGATTGAATTCAATAACAGAAAAAGTTTCATTAGTTACTTTTGACACAGCTCCTCTACAACGATTCGATTTCCAAGCAATCAATGAAAGTCATATAGCGATGTTAAAAGATTTAAAATGTGACGGTCAAGATACTGCTCTATTCGATGCTATTGACTTTTGTTTTGACAGAATTGAAGAGTTAATAAAACGATCGGAAAATCAACAGTCGAATGTATATCTTCTCGTACTAACCGATGGTCAGAATAATTTTGGCCCCAATGAATCCAGACGTGCAAAGAACTTATTATTTCGTTCAAATAAACTTCAAATATTAGGTCATACGATTCAAATCGGAGCCTTAGATCGACAAAAAAACAAGAATGATTTGTGAAAAACTTAAATTTAGATATAATCATTTCAGTGGTGGAAATGTAAATGAATTTGTTAATTCTTTAACAAATACACTTACTACAAAAGCTCGATCACGAGTTCAACCTACAAAAAATATAGCCGAACAATTGATTGATCAACTACCAACTGTACCAAATACATCAATAAAAGTGCGAAGGAGACAACCAGATTTCGCTTAAATATATATGACAATTTTTTTAAATATTTTTTTTATGATTAATCTTGAAGAAATTTAAAGCTAATTTTTTAATCTATATTCTATAAAGACTGAATCTAATATCTATGAATTAAATAATATATTTTTTTGCTCATAATTACAGTCGAAAATCTGATGATGTATTATGTACTGGCAAATATTTGCTGAAAAAATTATATTTCAAAGAATTGTCTGTTAAATAGAGTAGTGTTCGTTTTCATTCAATGCCTATTAATAAATGACCTCTTTTAATTTTATTATTATTTGTCAATTATAATTTCTTCATTTAAAAAATGATTTGCACTATAAAATTTTATTTAGTAAAACTTTTATATAGTCTATTAATAATGAGTAGAATACTATTTATATGATTTTTTAAGGAGGTTGTAACTAAACAACGACAAACGATAAAAAGAAAAAATTTTATACTAAAATGTCGTTGTCATTATAATATTTTTAATAACAAGAATATAAACACATAATAACAAATAAACATGAATATTCCACCATCTATGCCACCATATTTTCAATGGATTGTTGATAAACGTTTAGCTATATGTGCTCATCCATTTCATGCATCACATATTCGATATATCTTAGAACAACGTATTCAAACAGTTATTTCTATTAATGATACATATAATTCAGGATTACCTAATCATACTCGTGGTGAATTACAGGTTCAAAATTTATATATTCCTGATGGTAGTGCACCAAATATGCAACAATGCCAACAATTTGTTCAACGTATGGCAATTGCTCGACAACGTGGAGAGGTTAAATCTATTTAATTATCTTAAATTATTTTATTGTATTATAATATTTTTTTGTATTAGGGTGTTGTAGTCGAATGTACTCGTGGTAAAGGAGCATCAGGTGTATTAGTTGGTTGTTATCTTATGGCTCTTTGGCAAGTTCAACCTGATTATATAGTAAATCATTTACGTCTTATCCGACCCATTACAATCGAAACAACAGCACAAGAACAACAATTAATTGAATTTCATAAATTACTTGAACCATCACAACGTCATTTTTATGCTGAAGTTGATCAACCACATAGTTGGGATATTGATACAAGTTATTTACAAACAACACCACTTGCAACTACAAATCAATTATCACTTGCTTAAAATTTTTATACAAAACAAAAAACAGACTAAGCGATTACATAGAAAAAAGATATATGTTTTACTATATATATATCTATACCTCGAAAATAATTTAAAATTCATTACTTTTCTAATATTTATTTTTATAAATAAATAGTTACGGACATATATTGACTTGAATTTATTTCAATGAATATTGATACATCGTTAAAGTAGAAGAATATAATAATACAAGCGAAATTTTGTTAGATTATGTATTGAAATCTAATGGATTTGAGTAATTTTCTTCATATTTCTCATTTATGTTGTTTAGCTAATTATAAGCGAGGACAAAAAACACAAGTGAATTAACATTCTTATCACACAAAAGAAAAATAAATAAAGTCGAGGTCAAATAACTATATAGACTAAAATATATATTGAACGAAGCATGACGGTCATTTCTTATAGATGATCTTTTTTCCCCACTAATTAGTTACAGGATATGTCGTCTATATTAGAACTATCATAGTATTAGACTGCATGAAGCTTTAACTGATGTCGCTGATTAGTAATATCAGTAGATGTCATACTTTTTCGTTATGTATTATTTTGTCTTTGTTACATTTATATAGATACAGTTCTCCAATCATAGACAAGTCATTGTCTTTTGTTCTCATATAGAATTTTATTTCATCAAAATTTTGTAAATCAATATTAGAATAGTTAATTAAATTTTGATGTCTTTACTTGATCAAAA